ATTAGATGAAAACACGTCGTGCAAAACCTCTCTAATGACACTTTCTACGCGAGTCATAGAGAAGAACTCGCCATCCGACAATAGGTGGTCAACCTGATCATTAGGGACCTTTCGCATTTGCTACGAATCGAATGCGAAACGAAAGTTTGATTCGTTTCGTAAGCGTTTCGTTGAAAACAGATTCAGTTTTCGCAAGTCGTCATGCAAATGTGCATGGCAACTACGAATACGGCCAGTAGCTTGGCGTACGGGTGTTTACACGCACACGAGCATGGATCATGGACTCGAGGGAAAAAATGTGTACCTGGCAAAACATGTGTAGCTGGCCTAATAAATGTGTACCTGACGGATTCGGAGCGCGCCACGAATGAAGAGGCTTCCATTCGTGAAAACGAGCTCTCCGCAGGGACTCTGACGAATCCTCGAACCCAGGTGACGAATCAGCATTCGTTTCGTATCCGTACGCGCGGTGCGAAAGGTCCCTATTAATGTCGAAATCTCCCCCCCCCCCCCCGGACACCATGCACCCAAGTTCCTCCATTGTCCATGATCTCCCTTACCATGAACGGTTCATTGGCTAGTTGTGGTGGTAGGATGCGTATATCCGTGGGTCGGCATTGCAACCACGACAGCGTATCCACTAGAAAGACATTGATCGATTTGGGAATTTCTGTGCCCTGTTTGTAAACACACACATCACGCACACATACATGCACACAAGCACACGCACATACACACACACACACACACACACACATCACATACACACACGCACACACACACACACACACACACGCATGCACACACACACACACACATCACATACACACACATCACGCAAACACAAACACACAAACACATAAACACACACACACACACACGCACACACACACATACACACAAATGCACGCACACACACACACACACAAACACAAACACGCACACACATACCTATTAGTGATTCGGTGATGCACCTGCGGTATACCAGGTTCCTATGATCCACGGTAACCTAAACAAAACACTTTGCCGCGGGATCGGTTTTATGCAGCATAGATGCAAAGTTGCACACTCCGGTTACCGTACTCACTTGATTAGAAGCCCCTCTCGAATAAAAGCCCCTCTTGAATAATAGCCCCCCTACAAGGACTGCTTGAAAAAAATACAAGCCCCTCTCGAATAGAAGCCCGGACTACTATTCGCAAAGCATGGGTTGACCAGGTAGTGCCATGTATGAAGGTCAAGTCTGCAAAAAACATCTCGTGCATGTTCCTATTGGTACATGTCCTGGTCGATGTAGTGTGTGCAAACTAACTCGGGGCCGAGTTGCTGTGAATATGAAAGTTTTACAAATTCGATTGGAATACTGGTATGGAATGAAACAATAAAAGCCCCTCTCGAATAGAAGCCTCCTCGAAATTGGTATTGAAAAAAATAGAAGCCCCCGGGGCTTCTAATCGAGTGAGTACGGTATGTACCCTTGGTAAAACTTGGAACGACAAACCCTCTCTGGATCAGAGAAACGGTTACCGTTTTCCCGGAGTCTAAGCCGCACTTTGCATACTCAAAAACTCATCAAAAAATAAGGGGGGGGGGGGGTGCGGCTTATACTCCAATGATCAATTTAACGGTCATAAACAGGGAGGATGTCTGTATTTAGTGGCAAAAAATGGGGGTGCGTTATACTCCGGGAAAAATGGTACTATGGATATATTGACCTTTGATAAATACCGTATTTTCCGGGGTATAAGCCGCACCGGGGTTTAAGCCGCACCCCCCTTTTTGAGGCAAAATATTGACTAAAAGTTGGTATTCGGAGTATAAGCCGCACCCACAAACCTAGATTTTTCACACTCATTGACAAATGGCCTTTCTACAAATTTATTATGGTTATGGAGCTAAATACCATGTTAGATCAGATTATGAAAAATAGAGTCCCCGTATACGCGTACCGTATGGTGTAGCCCACGCACTAAAACTAGTAAAAGTGCTGGGATAGCAACACAGGCGCGAAGCTGAGTCGAATGACAGGTCACATGACGTCAGCATGCATACTGATGTATGCTAAGCATTCATTCGCGCAAGCATATTCGGTGTATAAGCCGCAGGGGCGGTTTTGGTCCGATTTTAAGCGAAAAAAAGTGCGGCTTATACCCCGGAAAATACGGTACCCACGCTCATTAGTGACCACACCATCAACACAGTATCAAATTCAATAATAATTGAGTGTTGCTGCGCTGAGGTTTCATTGTAATAGAGTCACCGTCGCACTAACCTTGTGTGGCTGCTCGATACAGGCACGATACCAGGTGCCGGAGCTGTGCCGAGCGGCGTACAGGTAGTTACAGGACGGCTCCAGGTGATACGGCGGTGGATGAGACCCCACAGCCTCACTGCTCCGACACACACGGACACACACACATACGCGCGCATACGCACACACACACAAGCAAGCAAAGACAACGCAAACACCAGAACGAATCAGAAAAAGAAGAAATAGAATGGTGGTTCTTGTTGAACGGACACCAAAGCATCCCTTCAGCATGTTGTCTGGCTTGGATACACTATAGTTGTAAACATGACATGAGGCGAAGCCCCACCAATCCTTGGACAAATACTTACCTTAGCAGCATGTCCCAGAGCTGGCGGCGGGGCAGCTATAACTGAATGAAGGCCAGCCAGGTCTCCAAAGCACATCTATACATGTACATGTCCAGCTCTGTCAAGCATATCTATACACCGCGCCATGCAGCGTTGCAGGGTGCAAAGCCAACTCTTTGCGGCAGCTTCGCAATGAGCACCCTACGAGGGAGACGAGACAAGTCCACCCTCGCTACGCGGCCCAGCCATTGCAAACGATGCACACACACACGCCCGCCCACACACACGCCCGCCCGCACACACGCACGCCACACACACACACACGTGCGGAAACACACAAGCACACGTACCTGATTCGCTCGGACATGTTCTGCACCGTCTGGACGTGAGCAGGCGAGGCCTGCTGGAACAAGAATTGCCCATTGATAAAGCAGCGCTCCGCAATGCGTACGTCCTCCAGAACACATCCCGGTGAAAGTCTGCATTCCACACGGCACTGGCGGTACACCAAGACCTCGCAGGATCAGCGCGGGTGAGAACGGTGGGCAAGAGAAAGCCAGACCCGGATCCAGATCTAACGCCATACAACCCTGATCACAGAGATGAGATACCTGTCGTGCAGAATTGCATGTCAAACACACACACACACACAGGGAAGAGAGAGAGAGAGAGAGAGAGAGAGAGAGAGAGAGAGAGAGAGAGAGAGAGAGAGAGAGAGAGAGAGAGAGAGAGAGAGAGAGAGAGAGAGAGAGAGGGAGAGAGAGAGAGAGAGAGAGAGAGAGAGAGAGAGAGAGAGAGAGAGAGAGAGAGAGAGAGAGAGAGAGAGAGAGAGAGAGAGAGAGAGAGAGAGAGAGGGAGAGAGAGAGAGAGAGAGAGAGAGAGAGGGGCCTTCATTGCCGAACTAGACTAGAGGTTCTTGCATTGTGTCAAATGATCGAGACCATGCAAACAGCCCAGTCAAAGACCTTACTTAGCGAGCATGCAGTATGTCCCGATACTGTATAACATGTAATTTTAGGTGTACTAAAATTTTCGGTGTCAGGGACCTGCCAGGTTTCAGGTATAATGTAGAATTAGGTGACCAGCCTACCCGTCTCATGTGCACTGTAGTGCCTTTTGGTGTGATCCAAAGGTAGGTGCCTGGTTTCTCTACCGAAATTAAAATTACACCGAAAACAACGTGTTTACAGTATTGCCCATTCAGCTCAAGTGAGCGTACCAATATTGAACACATATGAAGAACTCTACGCCTATGAAAATAGTCAACGTTCCAAGGCCAATGCATCAGCTGACACTGTTCGTGCAGATATTGGTCGGTAACACCCAACCTACTTTCATTGTCCATTCACCGCTGTCCAAGGATGGATCCTGCTCCAAGGTTTCCCCGGCTGCTATGAGCTGCAGGCACAGGAAATGAGCAAACAGAAGAGAACTCCTTACAAACGAGAACATGATTGTGGTACGACAAAAACAGACAGATATGAACTGTCTGTTTGCTGTTCTGTCGGTCTTTCTGTGAGCACAAAGTGGATTTGACGGCTATAATCTCCGATGTAGGAGAGTGCATGTGTGTTTGTGTGTACGCGTGTGTGTGTACACATGTCCGTATGCAAGCGTGTGGGCGTTCACGACATTGGTCTCATCATCCGAAGGTTGGGCTGGCTCGGACGGGTGACGTGAACTGAGGACTATGTGCTACCGAAGTGTTGTTCTCTTTAGTGAACTTGCTACTCCAACCCGGAGCATTGCCTGTATATGAGGTGGAGGGACGTGGAGAAAAAAACCCACTCCATTACTATTGCTACACAAGATGCAAGGTCAAAGTGTTTGTGCGTGCGTGTGTTTTATATGGAGAAAAGAGGGAGGGAGACAGACAGACAGACAGACAGACAGACAGACAGACAGAGAGAGAGAGAGAGAGAGAGAGAGAGAGAGAGAGAGAGAGGAGAGAGAGAGAGAGAGAGAGAGAGAGAGAGAGAGAGAGAGAGGAGAGAGAGAGAGAGAGAGAGAGAGAGAGAGAGAGAGAGAGAGAGAGAGCACACATGATCACAACACTCACATCACCAATTGTGTTCCTGAGGGGATGACAGGCCATCAGCTTGGGCTGCCAATATACCCATGCGTGGTGTGAAGACACTTGCGATCTGCACCCAGCATTCCTGGAGAACAGAGGTAAAGGGCAAACGCAAGGTATGCATACTAATGGCCAGAGCAGCACTGCGGCCCCTATTATCACCATGGCATATGTTTGCCCTTTCTAATGCATCTTCTAATCTACAACCTCCCACCGCTTAGGAGCTGCATCTACGCTTGATCCTAGAGGGTGGTGCGTTACTGCGGATGGAGAAAACTCGGCCTCCAGCCTTGTCTCAGGCGAACCGTGATTTATATAATACATCTTC